GAGAACAGCAGTGCACAGTCAAAGTGTAGACAAAACAGGAGGGGAACAGTAAATGCTGTACTAACACCCTTTGAGGAGAGAGTTGCCTCAATTGTGGGCGACACTTTACTGTCTGGAGTAGTATCCATGTCTGTGTGAAACACAGATGTAAGAGAGGAACACTTTGTTTAAACGGTATAGCAGCATCCCTCCGCTCTTATCAAGGCAGCGCCACCGGCATTTCAGCTGCCCAATCGCCCACTCTATCTGCGCTCTTGGTCAGTTTGTGGTTGGTTGAGGGGGGTTAACAGCCACATCTTTAATGGATTAACATGGTCTCCTGATATGCAGTTAAATAATTACGCTTAATAAAATAAAATAGTATTTAATTTTAAAAATATTATATGTTATTAATAGTAATTAATTAAAAAAAAAAAAAACTTCGCTGGAATATCATCTTTAAATACAACATGTGCTGGATAAGTTGGTGGTTCATTCCGCTGTGGCGACCCCTGATTAATAAAGGGTCTAAGTTGAAAAGAAAATGAATGAATGAACATCACTCACCAAGAAGCCATCGCACACCCTGCCACCTTGGAGCCTCCTCGCTGTCTCTCTTTCCAAACCTGGACCCAACTCAGCACAGAGATTTGAGCATAAGAAAAGCTTGTGGATATCTGGAACGGCTAATAAGCCAGTTTTCATTGCGGGCCAGCAAATCACTGTGATCCCTAAAAAATGCTTTCCCCTCGGATAAGACCAATGTCCTCTAATAAGGCTGCCATTGCCGTAGACCAAGTGTTGTATACATTTTGTACAATGCAAAGCAATGCTTTTTTATTTTCTAAATCACTTAAATGGTAAAGAAATATTGTATCAATTAACCCATTTTATCAATTATAAATGAAAAACAACGTTTTTTCATGTGTTGGTGCGATACTTTGTAGTCTGCAATTTAACATAATTGCCTCTAGGAGTTGCCAATGGAAATAAAACAAACACACACAAGAAATACACATACACCAGACATGAAGTTGACGAGGACCAATGCATTTTCTCACGTTAGTTTCATCGTTAGTAAATCCAAACGTGAGCGTGAAATCTAGCGTATGTAAAGTTTTTGTGCGAACACAGCGTTGATACATGGGGCCCCTGGTCTCTCTAAACCAGGGGCGCCACTGGCCCTATGACAACATGTTTGAAGACCTGGGGTGAGGGGGGTTAGTGTATAGATTTGTGTATTGTGGATGAAAGTGAAGAGTAAGGAGGTTTGTGGGCAAAAGTGAAGAATCATCATAACTTTCCACCCCCTAGCAGCACACATGCTCTAAACCCTACCTTTCTAACAAACCAAACCCCCCCCCCCCCCCCCCCCCCAACTGAATCTCAGTAAGAACAAGAACGAACTGGTACAGGGCAACAGACAAGAGAAAACTATAAAGGAGAAATAATTAACTAACAAACAGGTGAGTTAAATAAACTAATAATAGGTTAAGCAAACTAAACAAAAGACAGGAGAGCACAAGACAGAAAACACAAGCCATGTGCTCACGAGAAAACGGCTAGTAAAAGCAGCCAATGAGACAACCCATTAACTGTGTGTTCACATGAATCACAACACTTTTTTTATGTTGTATTAAATGTTCCTCGTTTTATTTTTGAAGGCTTACATTTATACAATATCAATAAAAACTCAGCATCATTATTATATTTCACAGTATCTGAAATAATATGTTTAAGGTTTGGGTCTCTCTAAACCCTGCCCTTCCAAGAGTTTACTCTTCTTTGATTGGTCAGATGATGATTTAGTCTGTTGTGTTTGGTCAGCTTATTGGATACGGAACAGCAGTTATTAAATTCAGCTCTTCCAGAGCATTTGCAAACACATTAATATGAACTCTCTTTATGTTTACATACATACAGTAGTGGATGGAGGTAAAGTGACAGTGATGTTGTTGGTGGAGTTTAACCTTATTATACTGTAAAACCTGTCATTTTTGGCAGATTGGCTTTCACACAAGTTGTTTTTAGACTAATAAGAAAAATTAGTGCACTGAAATACACAAGGTGTCTTTCTAGAATAATAACCTACTGTTCATTAAACAGATCAAGCTACTTTTGGTTTCTCACTTTATGACCCCTTTAAACATAACAATGATTCAATTTCCTAACCTTTTTTTCTCACAAAGGTGCTTCTAAAATGCTTTTTAACACTGATGTAGATAGAAAATGCTCCCCCAATGCATCACAAGCCTCTGATTCAGTCTAACACGTCTCTGTCATGGTGGATGTGCGGGTGTCTATTTTCATTCGCCGGCATTTGCTGCCATGGCAACCTGCTCTTCTGTATGTATGTGAGCGCCATATGGGTCACGCTGCTTATCTGAGGCTCAGCAGAAAGAGGACCTACTCTGGGTTCACACTCGCTGTGGTTTCATTATGAATTTCTAATGGCCAGAGTTCAATAGGTTGCATTCATTGGGGATCATGGAAGTTGTTTGTATTGATTTCCAAAGCTCATGAATGTGCCTGACCTGGTGGGGGTGACATTCAACCTCCTTGCATTTCTGAAGTTCATCTTTCCAGCTTGACTTGCTTGGATATGTAGACTCTCTGGCATACATTTCGGGAATGCCTATGTGTTGTTCTTGTGATGGCATTTGTAAACAAGATAAATAAATGACAGAATGTTATTAAGGGCAGAATCAGTGGTAATCTTATCTCCAGTAGTCACTTTTAGAAGGGCATAATGTGTTGCCCTGAGACTGGCAAAAGTGGATTGTCCTTTACATGTATTTAATGTATTTTTGTAATGTATAATGTAATGTATTTTTGACACGTTAAACCACCAAATCCTTCTGTTAACCCTCTTTATAAAGGGCATCTCAGGAACAACACTCTAGGGGTTCATTTAGAGCGATGAGGTGTCCAAGTGGCAGGATCTTGCTTCCGAGGTGCCTCAGGGCTCAGTTTTTGGACTACTTCTGTTTTCTATCTACATGGCATAACTAGGTCATTCAGTAGCATGGGTTTTTCTATCATTGATGTGTGGATGATACTCGATTCATCCTCTCATACTAGCCTAATGATCTGTCTACAGCTGATCACATCTCAGTGTGTCTGACAGTCATTTCTAACTGGATAAATGTCCATCAACTTCAACTCAGTGATTTCAGCCAACCACGTGTTTTATCACAGCTTGTTTATTTGGTTAGATGCATTAACCATAACTTGTATCAAGAACCTTAGAGTTGTAATTGATAATACAACATAGGCTCATTCTGAAAACGTAGGCCTTTATACATTTCTGGAGATCACATATTATGTAACCAGAAGTACTTATGGCTGCATGTAGTCTTTCAAACGAATTCCATTGGGCGGAACGATGCCATTTCTTTTCACTCTTAAGAACTGACCGATTACTTCCATGTGGACGGTTTTCCAGCTGTTACCAGTTTGTTCAGTAGCTTGTCATGTATGTCGGTGGACTTGAGACACAGAGAGGAGTTGACGATGAAGATAGGTTCGAGACTGGCGGGGAGAGGTTTCATAAAATGGGCAAGACTACAACAGAAGCCAAAAAATAAAATAAACAAGTAAATAACAGGTTGAGAATGTGGTAAAATCGGAAAACGTGGTAAAAACCAGGCAAGGGCTTTTATTTTTCTCAATTGCTTTTTAAAACTGGTTGGGTTTAGAAAAGTTGGTGTTTAGGTCAATTGGCACTTTTAAAAACACTATTGTTTGGGTTTAGGAAAAGAGGGAAGGTGTCAGGTGATCGTTCAATCAGTCAGTCAACAGAGGCCTCCAGTGTATTTACATAAGAACAGCAGGCGAGAATGCCACTCGCAAAATAAATTTGACATCTCAAAAAGTGTACACAGTGGCCTCTGGTGGATTTGCAAAAACAAAATCTGCAAAAGATGTACTTTCTGGGATGTATTTGGCGCTCTCCAGAAATGTATAAAGCGGTACGTTTTCAGAACGAGTCTGGGTTGTGATAAGTCAAACTTTACAGACACAGTTTCATTGTATTTTATTACTTCAGATCTGTTTTATTCAACGTTAGAACATTTGGACACTTCTTATTGGAGGAAGCAATGCAACTTTTTTAAAGCTTTTGTGTTTTGTCCAGGCTGGACTATTGGAATGCTCTGTTGCTTTGATTATTAATGTTGTCTTCATTTGAAGGTCACTTTGAATAAAAGTGTCAGAAAATGTACATTAAATTATAGGTTTATTTTGTCTCTCTGTGTGTTTGTTTCTTTATATTACTTCAGATATCATTTCAATGTGCTGATTCACTGCAGTTTAAATACCTGCATACTTAATTTCATTAATTTCAGCATTTATACTTAATTTATACTGCTTAATAGATGTAAAAATGGTCATTTTTGACAGATTGGCTTTCATATGAATTGTTTTTAGACTAAGGGTGCTTTAACACTAGCACTTTTGTTCTTTAAATGGGTTCGTTTGACATCAGAGTACAGTATGTTTAGCTTGTGTAAACATGTTTTCTGAACTAGGGTGCATAGGCATTATAAAATACAATTTATTGGGTATTTTAATAGATAACATAAATAATGCTCAGTACAACTAGTTTTACATTACTGTGATGGATGGGTTTAGGGTTGGGGTGGGGGCAAACGTTATAAAATACAACAAATGGGAAATTTAATAAATAATATAAATAATTTCTCGTTAACTTCCGGCCGCATCTATAATATACTTTTGTAATCAATTGTTTGCTGTTATGTTGTATTTGTGTCATTAATTTCTGCTTATGTTTTTTTGTTTCAGTGTAGTTACCACAATTATAAGATTGCTTTCAAAATCCATTCAACAGTCTGCAAAGCATTTTCTGCATAAATGTGTATTAAGTAGCTTGTGTTTAATTAATCACTACAGGAATTTATGGTCAATCCCATGGTAGATGTGCTCTCTTCAAGTGTGTTTAGCTAAATTATTCCTCCTCTTGCTAGAACTGCTTATAAATGTGTTTTTCTCCAATTTAACAGGGCAGAAAAAACTGAGGTACTTAGTGAAGACCTGCTACAGGTGAGATGAATTTGTACTGAGATCAGTTTGAACACTATGTGCCTCATGACAAAGTGATCGGCTTTTTCAGTTTATTCATAAGAATTTGCTTTTGTATAATGTTATTATCAGTAGTTGTAGTATTTATAATATGCTAATTTATGGATATTAAAAAAAAAAAAAAAAACAAGCTTAGATTTGCCCACCTGTCAGGTTTTAGATCATATAAGGCACAGCATGTGTATTTGGATATAGCTTTTGACCACACTTCGTTATTATTATTCATTTATTAGTTTGCTGGAAATTAGAACTGAATTTAGAAATAGGTTTGAAGAAAAACTTTGCGATTAATAAACAAAATTAATTATTTATAGGCTAATGGATGTCTGTGCGTACAACACATTTCCTTATCCATAAGAGGGAAAGTGAAAGTAAATAATGTGGAGGCCTATCTGTCATTCTTGCATTGTAGATGCTCTGTTTAACTCTTTTCTTACTAGTGAAGTGTTCAGTTTTTTCACTTACAAAGTCCACCATGTAAATAGCAAATGCAATATGGCAAGATTCAGCTGGGTCTTTAAGGGAATGGGAGATGAGACTCTGATTGGTTTATTCTCAAAACACACCTATAACTCATTAAGAGAATAAGCTCAACCCTGTTAGACCATGCACCACGGCGCACGCTGATTTTTCTGTCTTTAAAATAGCTAAAGTAGATTCTGACACAACCTTAACGTGTTTGCTTTCTGTGCTTTGGACTTCGCGCATAGATCGTCAAAATAGAGCACAATGACTTAACAGTTTGACCCTAAATCACAAAAATAAACAAGGAATCAAAAATTCCATATACTGAGAAAATCACCTTTAGAGTTTAATAACCACATTATGTTCTAATAATAATGCACACTTTCAATAATGCACATTACTAATTTATAATTGATATATTTATAGTAAGAAATTTACATAATGAAACAAAAACTTTACTTATAATTTGAATGGTTAAAAAATCAATAATTTAGACACATACAATGTATTTTGGGTCATTGGAAAAATACTTGTTCAACATACGTAAGAAGGTTTTGTGGTCCAGGGTCAATAATCTGTATCTGTACCATTCCCTCAAAAGACCTAAGGTGTTTTTTTACATGCACTTTTTATTTCTCTATTTGGGCTTATTGGAGCCTAATTAGAATAAAAATCTAAGTATCATATTTTGATATGATGTACTTTTAAAGAAAATTTATGTCCTTAATTGTGGACTCGTGGTCCAAATTTACATAAAACATAAAACTATTTCTGAATGTTTTTAATGCATATAAAACATATACATTTTTTTTTTTACTTGTGTTGACTATAAGAGAGTAAAAACAATTTTTTGTTTTTATTTTAGACTGTTAAAAATAGTGTTTGGGACTTTTCATATGCTGCAAAACAGTTGCAGGATGACACTATATGTTTGTAACAAAATATAAAACAATCAAAGTATTTTAAATAGCCACTTAAAAGCTAAAATGTGCTGTCCACTTATGTGGAAACTTAACCGCTATGAGGATATATTACTCAATGCTGATTTACACAAATCTGTGCTTACTTTGCATTCAGGTGGAGAAGCGTTTGGACCTGGTGAAACAGGTCTCTCATAGCACACATAAGAAGCTCACAGCATGTCTACAGGGTCAACAAGGCACAGAAATAGAAAAGAGATCTGTCAAATCACCTTCGGTATGTCTTTTATTACAGCTCAGTCACTTTCAGTGATGGACAATATCTGTTTTTTTTTTTTTACTTTACTACTGTACTTCACCTTGTTTAAATTGTCTACTCTTTCGTTATGTTGGTGGCTGTTTTTGCCCCATTGACTTCCATAATATTTATACTCTATAGAACTCCATGTAAGTGCCAGAAACTTTTTGTACAGAACTATCTAAAGGGTTAATGGTGCTAACTGATGATTCACAGTAAAAATTATAAATTTAACCTCTTCCCCACCAGGAAAACCATTAACTATCAAGAATACATTATTACATGATGTCATAGCTTTGCAATAAAACATAAGTTATATTTTTCAACAATGAATGGGAAGTACATTTGCTTAGAGTGTATTGTTGATTTTTTATTTTTTTATTTTTTTATTTCAAAGCATTTTCCCAAAACATGGGTTAGAATAAGATTTGTCCTGAAAAATCCTTCCATTTGCTGAAATGCAGAGAAAGTTATGGCCAAATTAAGATTCAAAATCACCTCAGAGTGGATGAAAACATTCCCAACAGTTAAAAAAAAAAACTTAAAAACCTCACACTAATTGGTTCAAAATATTTTACTTCACTCAAAAAAAAAAAAAAAAAAAAAAAAAAAAAAATATATATATATATATATATATATATATATATATATATATATATATATATATATATATATATATATATATATATATATATAATTTATTTATTTTTTGCTTGTTCAAACTACTTATTTAAAATGAGCTGAATCAACACAATTCGTGAGATTTCATTGGGACAACTTGATATTTTTATGTTCAATCCACATACATTTGTTAAAAGTGTTAAGTTAACTTAATTGATGTGTCTTGGGTCAACATGAATGAACTATGTGGAATCCTGCATTTTTTTAAAGTCATAATTATATTATTGTAATATTTCCCCTGAACAGAAAAAGCTTCCACTGACTACACTTGCTCAATGTATGGTGGAGGGAGCTGCTGTTTTAGGAGACGACTCTCTACTTGGGTGAGATATCGCATAATGAAGATGTTTGTCTTTGTATTTTGACCTCTACAAAAGTGTTCAAGCTGTTCCTCTAGGGCTTCACTGGTCCCACTTTATATCACTTTGGCCGTAATAACACCAAATAATATATAGAATGAACTTACTGTGTTCATAATGTATTGCAGAACACTTCTAGTGCTGTTAAAGGTAAAGTTGGGTGACATGAGTTGGTTTAGTGATGGGCAAGGCCAGATGGAATCTGCAGATGTTTTTTGCTATTTCTGCTGAGAATGAGAATGTGAGTGTAGCAATCGTATTCAAGTGCGCACCCGAAGCGGACCAAAAAAGCTGGAGCAGTTCGTTTGTGGTGAGAATATGATCCGAACTATAACAGACTCAACCGCAAAAAGTATTGCACCTTTTTGGACTAATCCAGCTGCTGTAGGCCAATGCGCTGTGCACTATGGGATGTGGAGAAAAAAATATTTGTTGACAGCACTTTGCCAACAATTTTAATCAGAGAGAGAGGCTGCGTCCAAAACCACATACGTCCATACTATACAGTACGCTAAAATCCGTATTTGAGCCAAGTAGTATATCCAAACTCATAGAAGTCAAAAATCAGTATGCGAGAAATACCTGGATGACTTACTATTTCCTGCAAGATTCTAAGGTGCACATCCAATGCACGCTATGCTATCCCATAATACCCCGCGAGAGAATCGAGTGAAGTGATGCAACTGACACAGGTAGGTCACGTGACCATGACAAAATGGCAGATGTAGTACGTCTGAATTCCATTCATACTTTTCACATTCATACTGTATAGAACTTACTTTTCTAATGGCCGAGTAGTATGTCTAAATTCAAATGCAGTACCTACTGAGTAGTAGGCCGTTTCGGACGCAACCAGTGAAAGGGAAACATTACCTGATAGATTGTTGGTTATTTCTGAAAGATGACTATGTCACAGTTTAGCTAAATGAATTCACGCCTCCTAAAGTGACAAGCGATGCACATTTGCCTATTGCAATGCATCAAAACATTGTTTTCCAGCCACGGCCACACTTCATTCTCGAAATATATAGTTTGTCTAAAGTGATGTATACAAACTATATACACTGTAAAAAATTGCTGTTAAAAAATGGTCAGATTCTACAGTAAAATAATGTTTTTTCACTAAAACAGTAATATTCTGTTAAAAACAGTGCTTTCTGGGTAACATTTTTGTTTTCGAGAAAGTAACCAACTGCAGAAAACTGTGAGCTAACAGAGTTCAGATTCGATGTTCTGAAGTCTGTGTTTGAAATCACACTTTGTGTCCTTGTTCACTATTTCATACACTAGTTAACTAATATAGTTCACCTGACAGTTTTAATGAACACTAATGAGTGAATTCAGACACTGATGAACACCTGCTGTTAATAATTACAATTACTGAAGAAAATAAACAAGAAATACAAACAGTGACTTGAGTTACAGCATTAAATAAAATCAAATAAAATAAAACAGCTTCAGTCTCACAGAGGATCATTAAACAACTCCACAAACAACAGCAGACACACTTATTACTGACTGATTTGACTTCCATACAACTCACATTGAGATCCAACAGAAATTAAGGTGTTTTTTGTGTCACCGTAATGGAGTGAGGGGCTGGTTTAGTTGGCTCTTCACCCTTGAACTCATTTAATTAAACTTTCCAACTGCTGTAATCCAAAGTTTACAAAACATTTGTACTATAGCAATAAAGTTGGGAAGTCAATAAATAGAGAAATCTATTTGTCTGAAATTAGTTCTGATAAATGTTTTAGTATAAATCTGGATGGAGGGCCTCATGCAATAGATTTTATGCTTAGTTGCAGGTATTAATTTAATTAATGAGAAGTGGAAACAGGAAAAATGCCTCCGTAATTACTTAACAGTTAAGAAATAACATACAAAAACAGTTCAGTTATGACAAATACACACTCAGACCTCATGAATCTGACCTTGTATCTCAACAATGGTAACATCTCAAATGTTTCATGCTGCAATGCATGCTGGGAGTGGCACGGTACAAATATCCCAGCATGCATTGTGGTATAAATAAATGTTGTATAATGGTCTAACAGTTTTCTTTATTTGTGTTTGATTCTGCTTTTGTTTATGTTTAGACTTTCAGTTGCCTGTTAAACTGTTAATTATGTTAGTTGTCACCATTATTGAGGTTCATATGCTGATTATTGATGTCTCTTTGAGTGCGATTTACACCATAGAGCAGTGTTATTGTCCAAGATATTCTTAAAAACTTCCAGAAATCATTGCCATATATAGACATATAATGTAAAACAATAGATTTAACATTGAATAGGAGCTGTAAATTTTATTATACTAAACGAGAACAGACTCTGCCATTCAATAGCAACATGAACATCACCAGATCTTATTTAGGTTTTTGGCTGGCTTGCCACATCAGAAGAGCTTTTAAACAAAGTTCTTAACAATTGCAGCAGCCAAGATATATAAATGTTAAAAATGACAGGGCTAAGAGCCCAATTAAAGCAAAATCTGTTCTCCATGATGGTGACGTAAAATGTTAACCTTTCTCTCAAGAAGAACTTTAGTAGATGTTATACAAAAATACATGTACTAAGTAATAAGTGTAGCTGGTGGTGAAGAGTTGTTTAATCATCCGCTGATCCTTTAAATGATTTAATCATTTGTTGTTCTTCAGGTTATTTCATTATAAAGCTGTGACTAAAGTTTTGTATGTTCTGTTCTTGTTTTTTCCCTTCAGTATTTCTTCATTTGTTCATTGTTAATCCTCAATTATCATTTAATTAGTCAGTTAATTAATGAATTTACTTCAGCTTTGCTACATGTTTATTGAACACTCAGTAGTGTGGACACTTCAATAAAAACTGAAGTATATGCTCTGGGGTTTAAAGGGTTAAAGGTGTGAGAGTAAAAACACAGCGTAAAAATGTATTTTAACAGTAATATACTGTTAATTTAAACTACAGAGGTAGACTGTAAAAAAACAGTAGATTGCTGGCAACCACAGCTGCCAGTAGATTACTGTTAAATCAAGGAAAAAACAGTATTTTACTGTAAAACCTGAAGCTAATTTCTTCTGTCTGTCACCGTTGTGGAGGAAAGTAGAGCCAGTGTATGAGTTAAAGATGAACAATGAACTGCTGATGTTATTCTGCATGTTTCTCTATTTAAAGATAGCGGCTGTTTAGTTGCTGATGCAGTCAGAATCTCTCTGGTGATTCCAGATTTACATGTATGAGTGCTGTTGTAAAAAATAAGACATTAGAGTTAAACCGAACTTTTCTAATTAACTAAAATAAGTTATCATTATAAGTATGCTTCTAAGCATATATAGCACATTACTTCATAAACTCATTCAGCAGTTGACCAAGTTGAGGCAGTTGCTTTCAGTGAGCAGAATGAGTTCACTTGAGTATTGTGTAAATCAATGTAGTCCATGTATTTTTTCAGCAACATACTGTAAAATAACAGTACATTGCTGGCAACTGCAGCTGCCAGTATTTTACTGTTTTTTAACGGGACAATTTTTAACAGTGTACTATTCCATAAAACAATTTATAGGCTAGGGGTCGTTTTGCTAATTATCTCCCTTATTCTCCCTTAATTTTCTTTTTAAATTTATTTTGGAGATAATACAAAATATGAATACAACAGAAAGACATAACATTTTACAAATTACATGTCCACTTCTGTAGGTTCAAAACAAAAGGGTCATATCTCAATAAAATAGCCTAATATATATTGAAATCATTTAAAGAATATATATATATATATAAAATAAAATCTCATTAAATAAATAAACCAATATAAAACAAACAGAAGCTATAAAAATGTAGGTACAGTTGTAGTCAGAATTATTAGCCCCCTTCAAATTTTTTTCTTCTTTTTTAAATATTTTCCAAATTATGTTTAACAGAGCAAGGATATTTTCACAGTATGTCTGATAATATTTTTTCTTCTTATTTGTTTTATTTCGGCTAGAATAAAAGCTGTTTACATTTTTTTAAACACCATTTTAGGAACAAAATTATTAGCCCTTTTAAGCTATTTTTTTCCCGATAGTCTACCGAACAAACCATAGTTATACAATAACTTGCCTAATTACCCTAACTTGCCTAGTTACCCTAATTACCCTAGTTAAGCCTTTAAATGCCACTTTAAGCTGTATAGAAGTGTCTTGAAAAATATCCAGTAAAATTTCATTTACTGTCATCATGGCAAAGATAAAATAAATCCATTACCAGAAATGAGTTATTAAAACTATTATGTTTAAAAATGTTGAAGAAATCTGCTCTCCATTAAATAGAAATTGGGGAAAAAATAAACAAGCGGTCTAGTAATTCAGGGGGGCTATTAATTCTGACTTCAACTGTGTACAATACATAAATGAAACCGTTTTTAAGACATTTTAAACATTCATTTTACAAAGACCTGTCTGAGAAAAAAAAAAAAAATTTCTAAAAAAAACACAGGGGAAGGTTTGAAATATTATTTATAAAGTATTTGGATACAATGATATTAATCAAATCGTGCAAAAAAGAGCATATTTTTAGGTGAGTGAAAGAAGAAACTACCTTTTTTTCTGTCCTGGGCAGCGCCACTTTACAAACACATTGGGGAAAACTGCAAATACAATATGTGTTCTGTGTCCTCAAAAAGTCTTTATGTTTTTAAATGATGTGGTAAAATATAAAAAAAAATTAAATTTGAAGTACATGTAGAGCTTTATTAGTGGATTAAAGACACATATGCTATATTTTATTTATTTAGTTATGTGCTGAAACACTTAAAAAATGTCCTTTACTTAAGATCACAGAATAATATGCAAAATACTTAAATTATTCTCTTTTAGAGGGGAATTACCTATTAAGTGTCATATAGCCTTGGGAAAAAAATAATATGTTTTAGGTCTTTAGCATTTGGGCTGAATGTTTGACGACATCTATCAAAATGAGTATGTTATAAAATACATTTCATATCGAGTTATTACCTGAGAAATTCTGTGGTTTTATATTTTGGATGGGTGTTAGTGATGAGACCCAACAGTCAATGCCAACAGTGGGTCGGTGAGTGAACAAATATAATGAATGGAAATACACAGGTCTGTGTGTGTAGACATAACGTAATGCTGTAGAGTAACAAGTCATTTGTTTGTTTCAGTTGTCTTCATTTCAATGGTTTCGTGATGATGCGATGGTTTGCTTTATCTGCATGATTCCAGCTGAAGTGGGCGGATTGTGAGACGTTTGATTCGGGGGCGTTTTAGGGGTGTGGTTTGCGAGCTACTAGCCCGACAGTGGAAACGCAACATAATTAGGGCCTTACTACTCAACCTTCTGGGCGATTGGCCTTGCCCAATAAAAGCCCTGGCTCGTACTGAGCCTACAGTGGAAATGCGGCTGTTTGGTCCAGACCAAATGCAGCAAACTACAGATGTTAAAGCACCCTAATATAAGTTAGATCAAAAAGCAAAACTCTTTTTATTATAAATTTTATGCTTATGGCTTTGTAATGTTGTAAAAAACACTACTTATGACTTTGTTTATTTTGCTATGAGTGGCATTTTCTGCTCACATATAAGGGATTTTCTGAGATTCACAATAAGATACTAGGATGCAGCTTTGAATACGTCAAGGTCAAATTAGTTTCAGGGTCTGTTTTGACTCTTTCTGCAGCAAGATGCTGAAGCTCTGTGGAGATACAGAGGAGAAGTTGGCCCAAGAGCTGCTCGTCTTTGAGCTTCAGATTGAAAGAGATGTCGTGGAGCCTCTTTATGTGCTGGCTGAGGTGAGCGTTTATTTCCCTGTCAGTGTTATTCTATCATTTCAGCTGTACGAAAGTTGTCAAATGTATCAACTTTGTTACCAATAAGTACTAAAATGTAAAAAAAAAAAAAAAAAAAACATTCATTTCTCACAAACATTTGATTGATGATGAGTGGATTACCCAACACTGGCCATTGTGCTCACACACTCAACAGATATGAATGTGATTGGCTACAATGATCATCACTTGATGCTCTTCACCATGTTCTTACACATATACACAGACACTAGAGCATTTAAATGTCACTTCTAAACGATTACATCCATGAATAGATATCAGCGATCCACTGATCAATTAGATAAATGCAACTTTTAAACACTGAATGTTGTCCATACATCTGTGTAAGCACTTGGTGGAGAGTTTGAAGAGAGGATTTGTCACCATTCGTGTAAGGAAAAAGGAATGAGGACCCAAGTGCAGGGAAAGATTGTATTTATATATAATAAAAATAAATAAAACAGCAAAATAAAAGACCACGATGGGGAAAACATTAACAAAACTTTACTTGGCAGGATGGCAGGGATCAGGGCTGGACAGACAGGACAAGGCTACAAACGATGACAAACAGGCACAGGACAGCAGACATGAGGAGAATAAAAGCAGAAATAATTAACAAACAAACAAGTGAACATGATGAACTAATAATGGGTTAACAAGGAGGATGGGACTAGACAATAGACATGACACAAATGACACAAAAACAACACAAGCCATGTGCTCACGTAAAACAAGACTAGAACACGCACCCAATGAGAGAACTCATTAACCACGTGTTCATATGACAACAAAAAAGCACAATAGTGAAGCACACGGCCACAATGTAAACGCAGAGACACATATTTAAACAACACAAACAGACGCAAGACATGAACTCACGATAGATGTGCACTCACACATATGCAATGCGCATGTTTCATCTCAGTGTCAACCAAAACCAATCAGACTGAGACTTTGAGAATGAAACCGCGCAATGCTGACAGAACAAAACACAAACATGAGTACAAGAGCGTGCATCCCAAGCGCGCACAGACCTCGCATGTCCACATCAAGCGGGAGTGCGCATGGTCTGAGCGCGCTCCTGACAAAGCCCATACAGAGACACAATGACAGAAAACAAGTGCTCGACACGAGAAAACTCGAGCCAAGCAAAACACACGGGACAAGAAAGAACTAGTGTCCGTACTCTGCCACCAAAACAAGAATTTACAAGACCAGAGTGGCAGTACCCGACAGGAGCATTGTAGCCAATTAAAGTCATTCCTGTTGCGCATGTGAACACAAAGACCAATCCAACCATAGCACTCAAAATGCATGCGGGAAATGCTGGTATTACTATTGTTTTTTTTTTTTCTTTTTATCATCCCTAGAGAATACTGTGATTAAACCCAGCCTGATTTCACAAGAAAACATACAGTTGAAGCCATAATTATTAGCGCCTCTTTGAGTTTTCTTCTCTTTTTAAAATATTTCCCAAATGATGTTTAACAGAGCAAGGAAATTTTCACAGTATGTCTGATTATATTTTTTCTTCTGTAGAAAGTCTTATTTGTTTTATTTTGGTTGGAATAAAAGCATTTTTAAAAGCCAATTTAAGGTCAAAATTTATTAGCCCCTTTAAGCTATATATTTTTCGCTAGTCTACAGAACAAACCATCCTATACAATGACTTGCCTAATTACCCTAACCTGCCTAATTAACCTAATTAACCTAGTTCAGCCTTTAAATGTCACTTTAAGCTGTATAGAAGTGTTTTAAATTTTTTTTAGTAAAATATAATTTACTGTCATTATGGCAAAGAAAAAATAAATCAGTCATTGGAAATAAGTTATTAAAACTATTATGTTTTGAAATGTGTTGAGAAAATCGTCTCTGTTAAACTGAAATTAGGGGAAAAAAATAAACAGTTGGCTAATAATTCAGGGGTGCTAATAATTCTGACTTCAACTGTACCTATTTTACTTTTTTTTTTTTAAATTTGTTAAAATTCATAAACAGTTAATTATTACAAAACCATTTGTTTGTAAAACATTTTAAAAGGATGTCACCCAAAACCCCTCCCCTAAACCCAACCATCATTAGGGGATGAGTAATTGTATATTAAAATGTAAGAATTGGATATGAATTTCAGATCCATCCAAGTAACCAATGTCAAAAAGTTCATGATAATGGAGATGGAATTTAGACATACAATACAAATGCAATTGAAAGAGAGTAAAAAGGACTAAATCACCTGTATGGCAACTTGTAGTGCATTATATCAAGGCTCATAAAAGAATACAATGACACAGACAAAGGCCAAAGGTCACAACACTGTTATCTTTACCACAGTTAATAATTTAGACTTGTGTGAAAGCCCCTAAAAAACATATTGCTTCAGGTGAGTTATTAAACTAGGATCCTGATTCTCTGTGGTCATACAAAAAGCCCAGGATGTACAATAAAAGAGCATTGTGGAGATTCCAGTATATGCTGGCCAGAGTTGTCCATTGCCATTTGTTCACCATCATTGCCTCCTAAACATGCTCATATCTAATAACTGCCATCACTCATTATCATTCTATCTCCTAGGAGACTTGTAAAATAGACCTTTTTTAAAATAAGGTGGAGTGTTCTTATAAATAACTTCATTTAAACTTAAAAAAAAGTCCTTGAAGGGAAGATTATATCACTTATTTCTTCTCATATGACCATGGTTTGCTGTTTAGGTGGAAATTCCGAACATTCAGAAACAGCGAAAACATTTAGCCAAACTTGTTCTAGACATGGATTCTGCAAGGACACGGTACGGTCTATAAGTATTTAGTCTGATCTTAATTCTTCCGTATTGCTCGCATTGTGCTTTGATGGTGTCATTTGTTCTCCTGGCCTATAGGTGGCAACAATCATCCAAGTCTTCAGGTCACCCTAGTAACGTGCAGCAGGGTGGAGCCAAGTCTGATTCCCTGAGGGAGGAAATGGAGGAGACGGCCAATCGGATGGAGATCTGCAGGGTGAGGACTTCTTTTGCTCTTGTTCTACTTTTTTCATGTACAATTGTATGTGAATACTGTGAACAGAAAGTCTTAAATTTTGTTGTAAAAAAAAACAAACAAACAAAAAAAAAACAACAACAACAAAAATGAAAACAATTATATCTGCACACACAGTTGTCACCAATGACAACAAGGTTGTTTCTCAATATGCGTTCTTTAGCGGTCTTGCTTCCACGTGTTCTCGTGTAACGTCATCATCAACTGCCAAAATTCAGTTCCAATACTCAAGACTGCAAGAACAGAGGACACGTGAAACTTCCCGGATGTGTTTTTGATATGGAGGATGCACTGATGCAGACTTGAGCACTGATATTGCTTGAGAAGTCCCAGAAGTCATTGCGACTTGAGGTGGGAAGCGCAGAATTTTATATAGATTTATTATTAAAGTTCAGAGATAAAACTTATTTACCTCAGGAGTTTCCCTAAATGAAACAGTGAATATAAACATTACCATGGACATCTTACTAAAGGAATAAACACATCAAATGTGTTTGTTTGCTAAAATTCATATTAAAATCTACTAGAGCTGCATGTTTATTAAGAGGAGATGAGCAACAAATCCGGATCTCACCATTTACAGATGAGAAAAGCTCTCAGGTAAACAATGTTCCTTAGACACATATTGTTGTCGTGCGTCACGTGCACTGTACTGCACACGTGAGTCTAGCTGCGCTCTCATAGAGAGAAAATTAAAACAAAACCTTTACTGTAGCAAATTATGAGAGCAGCACTGCACAATTGTTTTGGCAACACAACGTGGCGTCTCTCTGCAGTCTAAACACTGTAACATTAATGAACCTAGTCTTACGCATGCATTAATAAGAGACTTAATAAGGTACTCTCAGGTACAGATGTCCAGTCTACACGCTGTAATACACGCTAAGATCTCTTGGCCGTGACGCAGCTTTAAAAATTTGTTTCAACCCAGAAGTACGAATTTAATTGAAGCAACGCAAAAACAACCAATTTTCACTTTTTAGTGAAATATATGTGTCCTAATAGTGTTTTTAGCTGCATGGGACACAAATTTGTCTGTCAACAGCTTTAAAAATGTGTTTTGGTGTTTCGTGACCCTTTAAAATACATTTTTACACTATTTATTTACAGCTCAAACCTTTAACCCTTTTAAATCCCAGAGCAAAATTCTCAGTTTTAAATGAACACTTTCATGTGTCCACATTACTGAGTGCTCAAGAAACAGCTAAGGATAATGGGTTATCATGGAGATAGTGAGATAATGGTCCATCATGGAGAAAAGTGTTTGCTTTAGTTGGGCTCAAAGCCCTGAACCTCTTAATTTTCTTTTGGGCTGCTGTAATGTTTAAGAACTTTGCTTAAAAAGTTTATTAATTCGAGCAATCAAGCCAAGTTAAAAAAAATTAAAATAATTAACAATAAAATAAAATTAAGTGAGGCACAATCTGTGATGAAATAATATTATTTACTGATGTTAACAAATGTTTAATCCATTATTAAAAGTAACGTAATAACATGCTTGCACATGCCAAAATTATGAAGGTTTATAAGCTAAAAACAATTCTATGGTTCAACTTCTGCTCACAAAGACATCAATAATCAAATACAAAAACAAATGTTGCACACATATTGTTTGCTAGAGAACGCAAAAACTTTGAAGCTCAATATCACAAAATCATTCAGAATGCAGTTGGAACTTTATAATTCCAAGGTGACGACTTAGATTTTACCAGCTGAAGTAATTATTATTATTTTTTTGGTAACACATTTCACATCCTTAAAACTCCACACAACTTTAATTTTGGTCTGATTTATTCAAAGATAAATAAGTATTTAAGTAGTCTTCATCTCAAATAGAGTCTTCCATTTTTATATAATAAATGAGAATATCTAAATATTCATGGCGCACCCTTTTCTCCCTTTTCTGTAGGACCAGTTATCAGCGGACATGTACAACTTTGTGGCCAAAGAAATAGACTATGCAAACTACTTTCAAACGGTAAGCACCTATGAATATCAAAAGTGAAGTGTGCTGTTTGGACTGAAATGCCTTGGGAACACTTACAGCATGCGTGTGTGTGTCTTGCTGTAGCTCATTGAGGTTCAGGCCGAGTACCACAGGAAGTCTCTGGAGATCCTGCAGAGTGTCCTGCCGCAGATCAAAGCTCACCAGGGTAAGACTCTCCACTTATACTCTTTAATATTTAAGCGAACAAGTTTGGTTAAGTGTTGGCTTTCAAGTTTGTGTGTGGGTTTGTCAGTAAACTTGCGTTTGAAGCATTTAACCAGTGTTACGGAAGCTAATCTGAACTCAAACGACTACACTTTAACAAAATAATACAAATAAATTGTTAGCTTCAATACAAGTTACTACCAAATAGCTAATTATGTTGACTTCTTTTTCACAGTGAGTAACATATGCAGTTGAAGTCAAAATTGTTAGCTCCCTTCGAATTTTTTTCTCTTTTTAAATATTTCCCAAATGATGTTTAACAGACCAAAGAAATTTTCACAGTATTTCTAATAATACATATTTTTAATAGTCTATAGAACAGACCATCGTTATTCAACAACTTTGTAACTTCAATAATTACCCTAACCTGTCTAGCTAACCTAATTAACCTATAGTTAAGGCTTTAATGGCACTTTAAGCTGCATAGAAGTCTTGAAAAATATCTAGTCAAATATAATTTATTGTCATCATGGCAAAGATAAAATAATTCAGTTATTAGAAATGAGTTGTTAAAACTATTATGTTATGTAAAAATGTGTTGAAAAAGTCTTCTCTGCTTTAAACAGAAATTGGGGGAAAAATAAATCAGGGGTAAACAATTCAGGGAGGCTAATAATTCTGACTTCAACTGTACACAGTTTCAGAGAAACTTATGTTAAACTTTTCATTTTTACAAACTACTTTGGAAGGCTGAGTGAACTCAGAAACTCGTTGTGAGAATGGAGGTGTCTGCATATGTGTAGTCTGTCAAATAACATACCTTAAAACCCTTTAATATTTTAGAGAAATTAAAGTTTGCACCCAAGACCCGCCTATAAGTCTGTGTAGCCTATTTTTTGACCTGACTGATATATTAATGGCAGTACCTGCAGATATAACTAATACATTTTGTGCTCCTATTGTCCAGTGTCACCCACATGACGGAAGTCATTGTGAAGATCGAAAAAGGGAAAACAATTTAACATGCTAGACTTTCTGTGAGGGTGTCATGAGGCATCGCAGACATGGTATCGGTTGCTCTGAACACATAGTTACGCACATTACACGAGAAGAAACAATTGAGTTTTGTGTCACAATGCAAATCTGTTGTTTAAGACTCCCCACGAGACCGGACATCAAGGAAATTGTGCTGAAATCATTACAAAATCTTGTGATCTGACAAGGGCTTTCAAGTAACTTTTTTTTAGAAGTGACACAAGCTTCCTCCAAAAGACAATAAGACAATGTACAAGATAGGCATCATTGTGGAAAAATATATACTGTGTATATATATTTTTTTTTATTATTTTTTTTTTTCAACATTTATTTACATTCATTCATTCATTTTCTTGTCAGCTTAGTCCCTTAATTAATCCAGGGTCGCCACAGCAGAATGAACCACCAACTTATCCAGCAAGTTTTTATGCAGCGGATGCCATTGCATCTCTGGGAAACATCCACACACACATTCACACACACACTCATACACTACGGACAATTTTGCCAACTCAATTCACCTGTACCACATGTCTTTGGACTGTGGGGAAAACCGGAGCACCCGGAGGAAACCCACGCGAAGGCAGGGAGAACATGCAAACTCCACTCAGAAACGCCAACTGATCCGCGGCTCGAACCAGCAACACAGCCACCTTTTTGCTGTGAGGCGACAGCACTACCTACTGCGACACTGCTTCGCCCGCATTTGTTTACATTTGAGCAAAAACTTTCAGAATCAGAATTTGTCAGAATTTGCCAGGGGTATGAATAATTTCAGGCTTGACTGTAGCCCATTAACACAGCCAGCTTTTAAATCATATGATGTTGCCTCAATGTTTTGTTGACGTACAGTTAGAAACTTCACACTCAAATGTTTAGTGAACCAACTTCATCATTGTCCTTACCAGTGCCTGAATTCATGCACACGACCTATTGATCAATGACCTTGGGAGCTATGGAGCTGATTGAAATGCACCCTGAGTTTAGGATTTTACCATCCACCTTGATGTGTTTCAGAGGCCTGGATAGAGAAGCCATCGTATGGGAAGGCCTTAGAGGAACATCTAGCCATCAGCGGCAGGGAGATTGCCTTTCCTATCGAGGCTTGCGTCACCATGCTGCTCGAATGTGGCATGCAGGAAGAGGTGCGAGACTGATGGGAAAATAACTCAGCCTGCTTTATTTATACCTTGAAATGCAGTTTGTTGCTGTGGGATGAGTCAAAATTGTGGCCTGTGGTAACTAACAGCATGTCACAGTTTCTGTTTGTTGACATCATACTGATTATAAAAAATTTAAAAAGGGGCTAATAATTTTAACCTTAAAATGGTATTTTAAAATTTAAAAACAGCTTATATATATATATATATATATATATATATATATATATTTATATATATATATATATATAATGTAAATTCAGAGTGTCATTAAAGGCATATACAAATTTACAAGTTAATAATACTAGTACTACAAAAGTACTAAAAACTCTATGTGTCAATTATACTTCAGACAAACTCAATATACTAAACAATCACTTTGTTTGTTTTAATTAGCTGCCTTGTTGGACTAAGACTCCCGATAGTCATTTAAAATAGAAACAATACTGTAAAGTGATAACTTCCCTCTTTCTGTCACTGCAGGGTTTATTTCGAGTGGCTCCCTCTGCCTCCAAACTGAAGAAGCTGAAAGCGTCGCTGGACTGTGGCGTTATGGATGTGCAAGAATACTCAGCCGACCCGCACGCCATCGCCGGTGAGCATCTTTTTCTCTAAAAAAGTGTTTTTCATCTACTCTCGATGTCCTTTTAGCGGATCGCAGCTACAAATGCTCAGAGCCCACGGCAGTTCATTTTCAATTCTGTCCCAGGTTAATTTGATCTCATTACAGCAGGCCTGAAGCGTGACCTAGTAGCTGCAGGTACGGGGGCCGTAGCTGACAGGCGCTGCATGCTGGTTGTGGCTTTTGACAGCTCATTTGTCAGGCTTCCCTTTAGTATTTCATGCAGAGAATAGCACACCTCTACTGGCGTCCCATCACATATGTTGTGCTTCCCTCTTTCAATAGATTAAAGACTCAAATAGGATTTTTTTTGGCATGGTAAACATAGTCTTTACAGTAACTCTTTAGTTTAAGTAACAATTCACACTATTTACCACTGGCTTGTTACCTGTCCAGGGGCGAACTTAACCAATAAGGAAGGTAAGCAGCCACTTAGGGCCCTGGGGAATTAGGGGTTCTGACCAATGTCTAGAAACCTATATTAATCGTATAGCTCTATTATGCATTCTCTAAAACCTGTCTATAACTGGTAAGATTTTAACTAGAGGTGTAAACCTACACTGGTCTTATGGTTCGGTTACGATTATCATGCCATTGATTCGGTTCAATTCGATATCTCGGTGCATCACAGTGCATTGACGATGATTTCCATACTCAGTTTAATATTTAGGGGGTGGGACTATAAAATTGTGTCTGTATAAACACACATAGACAACAGTGTTGCCAACTTAGCAGTTTTGTTGCTAGATTCAACAACTTTTCGTACTACCCTAGCAACTTCGTACTACCCTAGCAACTACTTCAACAACTTTTTCAAAAAGCACCTAGCAACAAATTTTGCAATTTTTAACATTAATTTGGCTACTTTTAAAAAGTGACTCAAAATAGCAGTGACTTGCTTGCTTCACTCGGTAGAGTAAATTGCTAGCTCAGACTGTTTACTTATTGATATTCGTCAACATGTATAATCGTTGACAATTAAGGTAGCAATAAATTCCAATAGGGCTAATTGTTGTCAGAAGATAAAAAGAGTAAGTACACAAGCTGTTCATTATCAGTGTTTTATTTAAAAATAAAAATTCTTATCAAAAAGTTTTTGTATTACTTTTACAAATAGTCAACTCTATTTTTTATACAAATCTTAATGGACATATTTCAAATAATGATTTTGCTGTGATGCCCAGTCAATTTGAGAAAACAATAATCATTTTGTATACTACATAAAGATGTAGTTTTGAGTTGCGATTACGCAAAGACGTCATCACGCAAAGTAACATGCTAATACTAACCTGTTTATTGTGCATCTGGATGTAATGTTTTAATATAATATAATAGACGGCTCCTCAGATAGTAGAGACGTGGTGGGCTTACGCTTGTTAGATACTAAGTAATGATGTAACTGATATGCAAATAAGCGTGTGACGCCATCTGGAAATATTTAGCTACTTTTGGACAGGCTTTAGCTACTTTTCATTGGAAATAGTTGGCAACATTGATAGACAAACAGCATCACGCTGTCTCTCAGTCACAAACATACATGCACAAACAAATAGACAGCACCAAACAAGCAACACACAGCAACACGCTCTTTCTCAAACACACACACGCACACACACGCACACACACAAACACACACACACACACACACACACACACACACACACACACACACACACAGACACACACACACACACAAACACACACACACACACAAACACTCGTGCTTGTTCACTCGGGAGCACCCACTCCTGTTCAAATTAGACCCGAGTTACTGACCGCTCCCATGCTTTATTCGGAAATTTAATCCCGCGCTACAAGAAATTTGGTCAAGTCCCGTATCTCCCGTGGTATAGCTGCGGGAATGCAGACCTCTATCCCAAAGTATTACTGTATCAGTCGAGAGGAGAGGAAAAGTCATGCCAGCAGGTTAAATGGGCCATAATGAGAGAGAGAGAGGGAGAAATGCAGTTTTCATTCTCTCAGTTGCAGTGAAGTAGGAGCTTCTGCTGTAGGTGTCAGTGAAAGACTGTCCAGCAAACACATGCGCAGTGAAATTGTGCATGGTGCACAGTGAAATTGTAAATACGGCAGTTACAGTAACATAGCACAAATTAGATAAATGATGTCATAACTGGTTATGATTATTACTGAACCGATTGTGAATTGTCCGCATTTGCATCGCGATGCACCAAAAAAACAATTAATTTTGACACCCCTAATTTTAACATTATTACTTTTTCAAAATCGCGGTCCCCCAAGAACAGTGGAACATACCACAAACAATGAAATGCAGCTTCCTCAGCCTCCTGCTTTCTGTCCAAAACACCTGTTGGACAATAAGCGCTGTGAGCTTGTTAAAAGAGAGACCCAGTGACAGTAACAGCCGCCGATTCACCAACATACACCAACGATATTATTTAATTCATTTGACAAATTGTAACAAAATTTGTTTGATTGATTGTGAATTAAATTTGTTTAAATGTTTATTATTATTATAAATATTAAAATCCAATCACCAAATTACCTGTATGTAGTTTGTGAACTTTTTTTATTTGTGAATTTATTGCATTTAACTTTACATTAAGAAGATAAAGGTTCCTGTAAATAGAAAATATAATAAACCAGATAAAAATATACATTACGATTAGACTATACTATACCTAAAGAGAAAAAAAAAATCTATAGAGAAAGAGAATGGCCCAATGCCTGGAATTGCTTAAGTCCGCCCCTGTACCTGTCTATTATTAAGAAATTAACTGTTTAATAGCACTTATATAGCTTGATCCTGTTTTAAATCCATAACAGTACCAAAACCCAACTATTAACTATTAAAAAGCAGCTAATTGTTAGTTTATTGAGCTTAAAGTCTAATTAAAAGGTTTGTTATTGGCATGAAGTGTATATTACATTTTGTGTGACCATCTTTGCACTGCTGATTAGATTAGACTAGAATATCCTTATTGTCCCTGAAGGTTTACAGCAATAGCTGACAGTTGACAGTCACAAGTCTCAATCAACAACATAAAATAACAGTAAACAATACAAATAATCATGGAGAGAAAGGAAAAAGAAAAAAAGAAACGTCAATACAAAAATCTGTTTGGGGACCTTGCCCGTCTAGAATAAGTATAGGCAAAACTTTAAATAAAGTAGGTGGTTCTCATCTGCTAAAAGAACATGGCCTTTTTTTATGACTCTCACCTCATACACGTGTCCAATTCTATTAAGATTTGTGCCCAAGATCTCTTGAGATTGATGAACAATTTTTGAAAGTCTTTTTTTTACTTGTCACCCTCAAATTACCATACCAGCATTTCACTGCAAAAGTTAATGAGACTCAATCAAAGAAGAATAAAATGTCCTAAGAAGAGGCCTTTCCACATTAAATCCCTTCAACTTTCTCAAGTAAAACAGTCTTTGATTTGCCTTTTTACCGATAAAATTTTTGTTGTCTTCAGTTTATCATCCAAAATGGTGCCCAGGTATTTATACTCACTCATTGTCTCAACAACAATACCATTTATAGTTGTTGTCGTAGCATTAGAAATAGAGTTGCGGCGAAAATCAATAAGCATCTCTTTAGTTTTTGAGATATTAAGATGTAGCATTATTCACACTATACATACTATATATACACTTTAAATTAAAATGACTGTGCTCCTATATCCCTATTTAAAATGGTCAGAGCTACAGATGTCCATGTATCAGCATAGTGGCAGATTCAGATTAATGGGTGGGGTTCTTCCCTCTGATGACACATACAAAGGGAGAATGTCAATAGCCAATAAAAGTGTTTCTGCAGACGGTATTATAAAATGTGGTTATATTAATTATTAATTATATATATTTTACTATTAAAAGCTGGTTGCATTTACACATTGTTGCCACATAACTGTCTTAAAATTCTTTTTGAAAGTAATTTTTACCTAATAGGGCTCCTTTAAACAGTGGACTAAGACAAACTTTATTGAGTTACAATATCATGAGTGAAGGCAAGGCAAGTTTATTTATATAGCACATTTCATACACAGGGGTAATTTAAAGTGCTTTACATAAACTGGAATAAAAGATAGAAAGTATAAGAACATAAAAAAAGAATAAAAATGATTAAAGGCAAATTAAAATGTGTTAAAACAGGTTATAAAAGAATGAAAAATAAAAGAAAGACACAATAGTGTGATCTGTCGGATGTATCACAATGCTCATTCAGTAAAGACACAGCTAAACAGATGTGTTTTCAGTATGGAAGTGAATGTGCCTAATGTTGGAGCACATCTGATCATTTCTGGAAGCTGATTCCAGCAGTGAGGGGTGCAGTAGCTGAAAGTTGATTCACCTTGCTTTGACTAAACTCTTGGATTCTCTATTTTTTTTATCCATAAGTTTTGAGTGATCTGTTAGGTTTGTATTCAGTGAGCATATCTGTCTAATACTATAGTAATACTATAAAATGTTTTCTGAATGTAACTGTGAGCCAGTGTAGGAGACCTGGCAGCAGCGTTCTGAATGAGCTGTAACTGTCTGACTTTTGGGAAAGGCTGGTTAGGAGTCCATTACAGTAATCCACTCTGCTGGTGATAAAAGCATGAACAAGTTTCTCTAATTCCTCACAACAAAACGAAGTGTCTAATTCTTGCAATGTTTTTGAGATGATAGTATACTGATTTGCAAACAACACATACAATTAAAATAAATATGAATTTAGGATGGAAGATTCATAATCAAGATGTGAGTAAATCACATTTAAAAAACGAGTAAATGGCAGTAATCTAATATTGTGATGATATTTGATGAAGATATACAGTATATGTGTGTAAACCTGTAATTTTCCAATTTTGAAAAGTATTTAAAAAAAATTGAAGATACAGCTGGAGAAGTGTTTAAAAATGGATTAAATTTGACTTTAGAAAATATGTTATAACCCTGTTTTTCACTCTTTTCAACCAGGGGCGTTAAAGTCTTATCTCCGTGAGCTTCCTGAACCTCTAATGACATTTGAGCTCTATGATGAATGGATTCAAGCCTCAAAGTAAGTACTGATGGTCTCCCCAACACACATATCATTAAGCATTGTTTGCACCATTTAATTCCTAGGTGGGCTTAGTGACCACATAAGTGGGCGGCACATTTTAGCTCTTAAGTGGCTATTTAAAATACTTTGAAGGTTTTATATTTTGTTACAGACAAACAGTGTCATCCTGCAACTGTTTTGAAGCATATGAAATGTCCAAGCAATATTTTTAACTGTCCAAAATAGGGAAAAAAAATAGTTTTTTCTCTCTGATAGTCAAAACATGTTTAACAAAATATGTATGTGTTAATAATGCATTAAAAAAACATTCAGGAAAAAGTGTTTATGGCAATTTGGACCACATGTCTACATATATGGACATATTTTTTTCTCTAAAGGTACATCATATCAGAAGATAATACTTAAATTTTTAATCTAATTAAGTTTCAATAAGCCCACATAGCAAATAAAAATAAAAATAAAATAAAAAATACATGTAAAAAACAGCTTGAGCCTTAAGGGGATAATGATGTTACCACATGAAGCCAGTGCACTTTAATATAATTACAATGATTGTTTGTTTGTTTGTTTGTTTGTTTGTTTGTTTGTTTGTTTAAATTCTACTTAATCATGAATGCATTGTAAGAAGCTAAAAAAAAATGCTGCCTTCTTAGCTATATTCTTGCAGCATTGCATGATTTATGGATTGAATTCACCCAGGGTTTTATATGAGTTTTGATTTGTATGCCTATTTAGGTATTGTGTTGGCTAATTACGCGCTAATATTAACACCCTTAGTGCAATGTAATTTGTGGAAGAAGTATTCTTATGGTGATGTCTTAAGGTGATGGAATTACTGAGTACACTGGACAATAGATTTATAATGAGAATCATTTTAAATGGCAGCTCAAACATTTTTCATAGGCTGTTTTTAACACCCTTTTTAAAGTTTACAGTCTATATTTGGCACTGTGTACAATTCCATCAATGGACATGTATTAGTTTATCAGCCGATTTGGGTGTTTTCTCTTGATTGAAAGGATTGCTATGGTTGTCAGCTCACATAATGAGTTCAGTTGCAAAAACCTACAAGTGCCATCTGAAAGTTTTCACTAAAATTGGCATTTAGTTTATTTTAAAGACTTTTAATGTATAATAACTGAACATTAAAACAGGAGGCTAAAAATGCTAAGACTATGCAATAAATTGGTAGACCCCAGATTGCAAGTGACTAATTCATAAAAATCCTTTTGATTTCAGTCACATTAAAACTTACAATTTAAAAAAGGAGACATCCCCCTAAGCCCCAACTCATGTCCCCAAACCCATCACCCCCAAGCCCAATCTCATGAGACATGTCACCAAAGCAAACATTTAATGGTAATTGAGCAATACGCCAGATTGAAAATGTAAAACGTATTGAAGAGATGGTAAACAGTTAAACCCAAATAATGACCAGTCTGTCAGATGAAGAAGAGCCGGAGTCAGAGATTCAAATAAATAAAGACAGTTTGCAGTTTCATCAGCAGAAGCCAGCTTCAACACTTGCAATGAGTTCCTAAGCCGCTCTGCTTACAATCACCAATCAATAAGAATTATACTCTCACATAATGTCAATGACTGCGTCATACATATAGGTGTTCTAACCTGATTGGTTAAAACAGATAGACTAGAAAAATTTCCACATGGGGTGCGTGCATACAATTCTGAACAATATCTTAAGCATACAATCGTCAGACATCCAATAGACCACAGGTGTCAAACTCAGTTCCAAAAGGGCCGCAGCTCTGCACAGTTTAGTTCCAACCCTAATTAAACACACCTAATCAAACTAATTGAGTCCTTCAGGCTTGTTTGAAACCTACAGGTACGTGGGTTGGAACTAACCTGTGCAGGGCTTCGGCCCTCCAGGGATTGAGTTTGACACCCCTGCAATAGACTGTGTAGAGCTGACTCCAGATCTGTGAAACAGATCCAACATCAAATAGAACACAAACACTTAAAGTCAACTCTAGCTCATTCTAAAAAACGTAGCCCCACGGACATTTCTGGAGACCGTGATTTACTTGGCCGAAGGTATGCATGGCTGCATTTAGTTTTTTCAAGCAAACGCTATGGGGCGGTGTGACGCCGCTCCTCTTCGCGCTCGCTGGCTGACGGCTCACCTCCGTTTGGAGGGCTTTCCCATCTCAATCAGTTTGTCCGGTTAGCCCGTCGTGTTACGTCGGCAGAGCAGAGGCCCGGAGGGGAGCCGGCCGTTCGCGTCCGAGGAAGAGCGGTTCCAGAAATCAGGGATGACAATAAAGTGAACGAGTTCATAACGGGGCGAGAATGCGGTGAAATCCAAAAACGCAGTCAAAATCAGGGCTTTTCTTTTTCTGAAAGGCTTTTGTAAATCGTTGCTTGGGATTAGGGAAGGAGGAGGAGGAGGGTAGGTCAGCCGATCGGCCGGCCGCCCATTCAATTGTTCAGTCATTTAGTCAGTTGGACAGACGGCCTCCGGGAACAGCGCGGGCACGAACGTCGCTCTCGAGAGGCATTTGAGACGCAAAATAGTGAGCACAGCGGCTTCTCACAGATTTGCGAAAAACAAAAACTGCACAAACACGTACCTCCCAGGACGTATTTTGCAGTCTCCAGAAATGTCCGCGGGTCTACATTTCCTAAATAAGCCTGGGTTGCTTAAAGTACAATCTGTTTCTTATCCAAGGCTAAGTGTATTCTCAGCAATTTAGATAGTATTAATTCATAAATAACAATTGAAACAGTTGCTTCTTGTCCTCAGCCCTCAGTTCCACTCAAGGTTTCCATGACCTCTGATCTAGTTTGGTGGCAGCTGAAAATAGTTATAAAGAGGCAAGTGCACTGAAAATTCTTACATAAAGCTGTGTGTTAAATTATTCATTAGTTTAAATCAATTCAAAGTTAAATAGTCAAATAATCATATTTCATAAAAACAATGAGAAACAGCATGATGAGGAAAGGATAAACGTTGATTCATGCTGAGATGAATTTGGAAGGTATAAATCTGAATCCTTCAGTATGATTTTAAAAAGGAGTGGTGTCCCAATCCCCAACCCAAACATAAGTACTGTATGTCTATGAGCAAGACTGTTGTCATTTCATATGAATGGTTGATAGCCAGCATCTGAGCCAACTAACAGGTCCAGGCAACACTTGGATGGTAGATAACAGCTTAACTAGCAGTTGTAGCAGGCCCCTTCTTGCCCATATGGACTGATAACTACTGATAACAACACATTCAATCAAGTGATTGAACCGAAGCAGGTAAATATCCATGCTTTACGTCTGTCCTTGTCTTTCCTCTAGTATTCAGGATATGGACAAAAGGCTTCAAGCCCTGTTGTGTACATGTGAGAAACTACCAGCAGACAATCTGAACAACTTCAGGTATGCCTGTTATTTACTCATTATTTGTTCATTTTAAGGAGTTGTTTGTCTTTGAGTGAGTCATGAATGCGGAGCTCATTAGCAAAGAAGAGTGTCAGATCTCTTTCACAGTACTTCCTTCACTGACAGCAAGTGGGCACATTTCTGAATTTTCAGAGTTCATTAGTCCTAAAAAGAATAGTTTGGAGTTTGGAAATTCCAGCTATACAGACACTATCTCTGTCAAAGAAAAAGTCAGCCTTTTTAATTTTCCTCTCATTTAGCCAAAAGGCTAAGGAAGCTCTTTTTCTAGCTCCTAATTAAAATGCTCCCACCAAAATGGGTTTACATCAAAAACACTATAATTTTTTTATGGGCTGCGTTAACACGAGACTTTTTTTCGGGCGATAAAAAAAACACTTTAATCCATTCTTAAAGTTGGGTTGGGAGCTGGGTCTATTCTAAGCAAGCTATGATGACTTTCCCCTTGATAATTTAGCTCAGATGTATACCTGGCCAATTTGCACTGTAGGAGTCTTCGAACTTGTGTGTATTCCTACTTTGAAATTACTACATGAAACATGATGTGCTAACATGGATGCAGTTCACTAGAGTGAATCTGATTAACATTAGCTCCACATCTGACTATCAGGCACCTGTAGAGTTTATGCATTTGAGTAAAACATATACAAATTAGATAAAGTGTGTGCTTTTTAAAATGAATGACGATGAATGAAAGTCCGGTGAGCATTCTGACAAAAAAATGCCCTTCTGAATCAAATCAGCAGGATGCCCTTCTTTATCTTTACTTACTTCAAAAACACTACTGACTACGTTTACATGGACATCAGTAATCTAGTTATTTGCCTTTATAGACAATAATATAATTTAGTATACTGTATATGTGTTTGTAAAACTACATATACAGTATATTTGGACATGTTTTTATTTGGCTCACATGACGAGGTTTCCAGATATAGGCTGTGGGTCTTGGCTTGGTTTGTTTGCACCTGGCTTGGCTTAGAAACCTACTGAAATATTGATCATAGACAGCGACAGGAATAGCAGATGTAAGCGTGAACGCCAGTGCTAAAAAGATGCTTTGTCAAAACTGAGACTGAAACTGAAAGTTTTTTTTTTTCTCTCTCTCTCTTCCGAAACAGATATTTAATCAAATTCTTATCCAAACTCACAGAGTACCAAGACTCTAATAAAATGACACCAGGCAACATTGCAATAGTTCTCGGACCCAACCTGCTGTGGACACATTCAGAAGGGTGAGCGCATGTCCTCAGTTCTTGTATTTGTGAAAAGCAGCAAATTCACACAGCAATTTTAAGAGAAAAAGTGAAAAACCTACTTTCAGAAGACTTGTGGTTATATAAATTTATTACTGCTTTTCCTTTGTGGACCACATTTTTGCCATTGTTAACCATTTTTAATCAAGTTTTTTTGATGTATTAATTTAATTGACATTAGATAGTAACTGAGGTGAAATAGGTTTGTTGAATTATAAATTTTCTTTATAAAATTGCTTCAAGACTTCCTATCTTGTCTGACTTTGATCAGCAGAACTTTATTATATTTTACTCTAGATGTTTTTGGTTGGAAACCGAAAAGTTTGTAGTGTTTATACATGGCAACATGTAAACAAATGGTAGTAATGTTCAATGTATTGTGAAAAATGTACTTTCTCAAAATATGTTTTGTTATCAAATTATTACACATTTACTGTACATCAATGTTTTTATTCAATATTATTTAATTGGGTCTTCAGTGACCCATAACTGCCCAAAAAAATTCAATCTCTCTCTCTCTCTCTCTCTCTCTCTCTCTCTCTCTCTCTCTCTCTCTCTCTCTCTCTCTCTCTCTCTCTCTCTCTCTCTCTCTCTCTGTATATATATATAACTTGTTCAAACTACTTAATTAAAATGAGCCGAAATAACACAATTCTTGAAATTTCATTGGGACAACTTATTTTTTTATGTTCAATCCACATAAATTTGATAAAGTGTTAAGTTAAATTAAACGATTTGTGTTAGAACATGAATAAATTGTGTTGAACCCTGCATTTTTTACAGTGTGTACTCTCTAAAAAATGCCTAGTTCCACACAATTGATTTAGTTGACTAAATCTAAAATTTAGTGAGGTAGTAGTTGGGTTTGGGTATTGGGTAGTGGTGTTGTCAAAAATATTGATATATTGCTGGTCCTAAACTCTGAAACACTCTACCCATCATGAATTTCCCCCTCTATTTCTGTGTTTAAATGTGTTTTAAAGACCCATCTACAGTATAAGATGTATTTTCTCTCACATTTAGTACTCCTTGATTACTGTTTTATTGCGTGTACTTAATAAATGTTATCTTGTATATTCTGTCTTTAGTACTCCTATGTACAGCACTTTGGTAAACTTTGGTTGTTTTTAAATGTGCTTTATAAATAAATAAATATTGTATTGATTTATAGTCTTGATAAATATTGATACTAAAATATCTAAATTAATACAATATTACTTATGGTTAGAATCAATACTGGAATCTGTTGCACTCTTTCTTCTCTGATAAACAAGTATTAATAATATTTAGATTTTAAGACTGTTGTTTTAGTCAGAAAATAAGATGCGATTGCACTTGATGAGATTGTCTTTTAGACTTTAAGACTGCTTATGTACCTGGGATACGTTTACACTCATTGTTCACTTTATTTAGTACAGCTTTCCATTTGCTTTTTAACGCAAATTTCGAATCAGCCAATAACATGGCAGCAACCCAATGCATTTAGGCATGTAGACATGGTCAAGGTGATCTGCTGCAGTTCAAACCGAGCATCAGAATGGGGAAGAAAGTGGATTTAGGAGACTTTAAACATGGCATGGTTATTGGTTCCAGATGTGCTGGGTATTTCAGAAACTGCAGATCTACTCAAGTGAGCAACTGTTCTTTGGGTGCAAATGCCTTGTTGATGCCAGAGGTTAGAGGTGAATGGCCAGACTGGTTCCCAACTTATAAAGGCAATAGTAATTCAAATAACCACTCGTTACAACCAAGGTATGTAGAAGAGCATCTCTGAAAACACAACACATCCAACTTTGAGGCAGATGGACTACAGCAGCAGAAGGCCACATTGGGTGCTACTCCTGTCAGCTAAGAACAGGAACCTGAGGGAACAACTTGCACAAGCTCACCAAAATTGGACAATTGAAGATTGAAAATGTGTTGCCTGATCTGATGAGTCTCGATTTCTGATGCAGCATTTGGATGGTAGGGTCAGAATTTGGCGTCTACAACATCAAGGCATGGATCCATCCTGCCTTGTATCAAGGGTTCAGGCTGGTGGTGGTGGTGTATTTTGTTAGGGATATTTTCTTGGTAAACTTTGGGCTCATTAGTACGAATTAAACATTTTGTTTAAGACACAGCCTACCTGAGTATTGTTGTAACCTGCCATGTCATAAAGTGTGAATCATGCCGGACTGGCTTCTTGAACATGACAACAATTTCACTGTTCTTTAATGGCCTCCACAATCACCAGAACTCAATCCAATAGAGCATCTTTGGGATGTGGTGGAATGGGAGATTTGCATCATGGATGTGCAGTTGACAAATCTGCAGCAACTGCGTGATGCTATCATGTCAGTATGGACCAAAATCTTAGGAATGTGTCCAGTACATTGTTAAATCTATGGCACGAAGGATTAAGGCGGTTCTGAAGGCAAAAGGGGGTCAAACCTGGTACTAGTAAGGTGTACCTAATAAAGTGGCCAGTTAGTGTATAAGTTTAATTATTTTCAGCTTTTTTACTTTATTTGCATACTTTTAATGGTGCAGAACTTGTTCCCCACAGTATCAAAAATAGTATAGAATATTAATTTCGAAGCTGGAAAGTCCAGAATCATGACAACACTATTGGGTAGGATTAGTAATGTAAAATACAATCATACTTAAGTGCAAGTAAACAGTTTATATTCTTATTATAGGTAGGTAATGAGTCAGAAGTAAATTATGTGAATTGTTACTTTTTATCTTGTATATCTTATACCATACTATACCTTTAAATCAGCATATCTGAATGACATTTTTGGTGAACTGTTTCTTTTAAAACCTCCAGTAGTTTTAAGTTTTTGCTTTGTGGAATGAGTAGCTCCAACGGGTCATTGATCTCCACAGGAACATGACAGAAATGATGACCACCATGTCCCTGCAAATCGTAGGAATCATTGAGCCGATCATCCAGCACGCGGACTGGTTCTTCCCTGGAGGTTGGGACACAAAGAGTTGTGAAAACATATTCGCACATACAGGCGGGTGTTTTTCCCCGGTGAGAATTGAACTAATTTGTCTTTGCTATTCTTAGAAATTGAGTTCAACCTGACAGGCAGCTACGGCAGCCCAGTGCACACCAACCACAACTCCAACTACAGCTCCATGCCCTCACCAGATATGGACCAATCAGAGCGCAAGCAGCAGCACGACCAGAGCCGACGCCCACTCAGCGTTGCCACCGACAACATGATGCTGGAGTTCTACAAGAAGGACGGGTAGGTTGCTCTGCCTCACTGCTTTCCTCTGCCATGCACTGACATCACCATCCCATGCCACCCTCACTTCTTAAAGGGATAGTTCACCGCAAAATAAAATAAACGTCATCATTTAAAAATCATCTACTTGTCACAAACAGGTTTAAGTTTCTTCTGACAAATGCAAAAGAAGATGTTTTGAAGAATGCTGAGTCATTTCTTTTTGTATTGTATTTTTCTTCTTCTTCTTACTATGAAAGTCAATGACTACCGAATTCCAGCATTCTTCAAAATATCTTGTTTTTTTTTTTAAACAGATACATACATATACATACGTATATACATACATACACACACACACACACACACACGTATATATATATATATATATATATATATATATATATATATATGTATGTGTGTGTGTGTGTGTGTGTGTGTGTGTGTGTGTGTGTGTGTGTGTGTATATATGTATGTAAATATATACAGTTGAAGTGTATTTGAATTCTGAATTTTGAAATTTTCATTTTCTTTTCTCTTTTTTAAATATTTCCAAAACAATGTTTAACAGAGCAAGGAAGTTTTCACAGTATGTCTAATAATATTTTTTCTTCTGGAGAAAGTCTTAGTTTTTTTTTTTGACTAGAATAAAAACAGCTTTTAATTTTTTAAACACTATTTTAAGGACAAAATTATTAGCCCTTTTAAGCTAATCTTTTTTTTTTTTTTTTTGATAGTCTACAGAACAAACCATTGTTAAACAACAACTTGCCTAATTACCCTAACATGCCTAGTTAACCTAATTAACCTAGTTAAGCCATTAAATGTCCCTTTAAGCTGTATTGAAGTGTCTTGAAAAATATCTAGTGAAATATTATTTACTATCATCATGGCAAAGATGAAATAAATCAGTACTTAGAAATTAGTTATTAAAATTACTATGTTTAGAAATATGTTGAAAAAATCTTCTCTCCATTAAACAGAAATTAAGGGAAAAAATAAACAGGGGGCGAATAATTCAGGGGGGCCAATAATTCTGACTTTAACTGTATATATACACACACACACACACACACACACACACACACACACACACACACACACACACACACACAAACACACACACACATATATATATATATATATATATATATATATATATATATATATATATATATATATATAATTCTAAAGGTTTGGAGACACTTGAGGGTGATTTTTTTTTTTTTTAAATATATAGTTCACCAGAAAATGAATAATTTGTCATATATTCACACTTGCTGTATGTTGTTCCAAATCTTTGACTTTTTGAAGATTTTTTTTGGTTTGTTTTGTCATTTGTATTAGTCGATTCATTGAGTATTTGAGAGTGAAGTGTGATGCTGCATTCAGTTATAGATGAGCTGCACATGACCTGGGGCCTCACATGACCAAGGCCACATGACACATGACCTTTGCGTATGCCAGATTTCATCCTCACGTTTGGATTTACTAACTATGAAATTAACGTGAGAATGTGCGCTAACTTCATGCCTGGTGTACGTGTATTTCTTGTTTGTGTTTTTTTTTTTTTTCCATTGGTGACTCCTAGAGGCATTTATGTTAAATTGCATTATACAGAGTATCGTACCAAGAAAGTATCCTGGCAACTGGTTCTTTACAAAGGGAACTGGCAGACCGCTTGGGGTTAAGCCAGTCGTCTTTGGGCCGTGCAATGCAAGCTGTATGAGACAGGATCATCCGCATGTCTAGCATGTATATAAGGTTTTCATACACTCTCAGAAGAAAAGGTCCACAGTGGTACAAATCATGTTCCTTGAGGAAAGATTGTACCTTATATGGTACAGAAAATATCTCTTATGACACTGTTCTGTACCTTTTATGGTACAATTGAAATGAAGGTACACAATTGTTCCCAAATAAAAGGTACAACAGTGTTGATCAAGTTTTTCTTTATTACAATACCAGTGAAAATAAATATGACTGTAAAGGCAAAGTGATTTTATGAATACTTTCTAGAAGAAAGAAGCATAAACATTAATTATTAAGTTCTATAATACAATATTACAAAACAACTGGTAAAACAAATACTATAGGTATTGTAAACTAAACATTAAAGACATTTAAATAAATGTTTGGTAAGCATTTTTGACACTGTGAAGGTACAATATTGTATCTGCAGGTTTTAAAAACCGAAGGTACATTTTGGTTTCCCATGATACAAATGATGTCCTGAAAGGTACAAACTGCAAAGGTACAAATTTGTTTCTTTGTCTTCAGGTACAATTCTGTTCCATACAAAGGTACTGCCCCAGTGACAAGGGTTTGTACCTTCTTTGGTACAATATTGTACCATTTTTTCTGAGAGTGTACCATGCAGTTGACCAGCCAAACATTAAAGCGCAATTTGCCGCGTCGCTGGTTTTCCCAATGTAATCAGAGCGATCGACTGCACGCACATTACTATAAAGGCGCCATCTAAAGAAAAATTTGCATATATGAATCGGAAACATTTCCATTCAATAAATGTGCAAATAATATGTGATGCCCTAATGTGCTTAACAAATATTGTAGCAAGGTGGCCTTGGTCAACCCATGATTAATTCATACTCACAAACAGCATGGCTGGGATGAGGCTCCAAGGTGGCAGGGTGCGCAATGAGTGGCTTCTTGGTGAGTGATATATTTAAAGATTATTCCAGCAAGTTTTTTTATTTTATTTTATTGAGCAAAATTTCTTAACAGCAAATCAGGAGACTGTGGTCTTCCATTAAAGACGTGGCTGTTAACCCCTCTCAACAACTTACCACTGACTAAGTGCACAGCTACAATGATGCCCACTCTCGCATTCGGTCAGTTGTAGAGTTAACCAATCAGAAGCTTTCTCTTATAAAGGCGTGATTATGTCATGGCGCCTGTTGTTGGTGTCTGGAGTGGAAAACCTCCACATTAACAAAGCTATGCTCTCAATAAAATCCATGTTAGCCATTTAGCAACGAAGCTAGAATCACTGTGCAGACAGAAGCCCTGTCTACCCATGATGCAAATCCACGTCTTTTGTGGTGTGAATTTGAAGTGCAAATGAGAATCAGAGTAAACTCAAAATGTTCACGTGTCTATTTATGTATGAATAACATGATTTATTCACGCATGCTGCGTCTGGAGTGAACATAGCATAACGGTCAACATGATGATTGAAGCCCCGCCTTTTAGATCAAGAGCCAATCAGTGATCGCTATAGATTGATGAATCTTCAAGTGAAGGGCTCAGACAAGCCATGGGTTTCTGCAGATTTAGTGTGATTAGAATATTTAAAAATAAAACTGAGGAGCTTCCAGCTGCAACCCATCACTAGGAAACATCCATACACACTCATTCACTACAGACAATTTAGCCTACCCAATTCACATATACCATGTCTTTAGACTTGTGGGGGAAACCAGAGAACCTGAACTTACGCAAACAAAGGGAGAACATGCAAACTCCACACAGAAATGCCAACTGACCCAGCCGAGGCTTGAACCAGTGACCTTCTTGCTGTAAGGTAAACGTTCTATCCACTGCGCCATTGTGCAGCCCTTAATTGTAAGCTTGGCAATCAATTTTGGAGAATTTGATGTTTCCCCAGTCAAACAAAATGCCTGAGGACACTTCCTGAGAGACGCTTCAAAGATGGCCGCCAAATGAAATGGCTTGCCTTAAAGGGACTTTGGTTTCAGTCACCTGATACTGCGTTTTCATGTAGGCAAACAGAGAAGAAGAAAAAAACTGCGTAGTAAAAAAAAAAAGTATGACAATGAAAATGCCCTTGTTCATGTGGACGGAGCCTCAGAATGGCTTGGTTCAGCAAGAGCTTTGTATTTGTGACATTTATTTTGTGTGTTTGGGAATGTAACATTTGCCAAGCCACTTCCTGTGGAATAAGAAGCACTTAACAACTAGTTGATTTCAACAAAAGAGAAACTTGGGTTATGGCCTTGGGTGTCTTCACCACCAGATTAAGGCATCTTTCTGTAATTATTAGTACATTATATTACTAATATCTGTGGCGCAGTGGGTAACACAATCACCTCAAAGCAAAAAGGTCGCTGGTTTGAGCTTCGTTTGGGTAAGTTGGCATTTCTGTGTGGAGTTCTGCCTGTGTTTGCGTGGGTTTCCTCTGGGTGTTCCGGTTTCTCCTCTCAGTCCAAAGACATGTGGTATAGGTGAATTGGGTAAGCTAAACTGGCCGTAGTGTATTTGTGTAAATGGAGGTGTGGGGGTGTTTTTTGGTGATGGGTTGCAGCTGGAAGGACCTAAACTGCATAAAACATATTTATTATATTTATTATTTTATTATTTCAATAAAAATATTGTTATTACTATTATTATTAGTAGTAGTAGTAGTAGTAGTAGTAGTGGTAGTAGTAGTACTAAAAGTAGTAGTAGTAATTTATTATACCTAATAATTATTATTCAGAAAACTTAAATAAAAACAAGATTTTCAAAACTATTTCATGAGTTATTCTGGATAATTTACTTGCTTTTATTTAACAATAATTTTGGAGCTAGACCACGTTCTTATAGACCAATTACCATGTTTGTAAATGTTCATGATGCGCGCGCAGGGAGGTGGCAGAAAGCAATCGGGAGCGCAAACATTCATAGAGAGGGAATGACATCAGATGCGGTGCAGAGTTTATTGTTGTCTTAGAAATAAGATAAATTACTTACATATTATATATATATATATATATATATATATATATATATATATATATATATATATATATATATATATATATATATATTATTTACATAATGCTTACAGCATATTATAACAGCTCATCGCCCAGTGATAAGCACAGTGATTCAGCAAAATGAACGTTAAAGTGAGCAGCGTTCATCTGACAGCTCCATTTGTGATAGCACCCTCCCAATAAATATTGGATAAGACGAAATGACCGAGCATCCAGCCCGAAATATACAATCCCAATGAAGCTCCGAGTGATTTTACAAGAGAGAAGTTAAAGGTCTACAAG